GAAAAAGAAAAGAAAAATATTTAGGCAAGCTGAGCTCCCAGAGAGGTGTGGCTTTAGTACTGGGGAGACACCGTAGCCAAGATATGCAGCAATAGTCACCCATGCTTCCCTAATAATCCCCCCACTGCTTTCACTAAGCAATCACTATCCCCAGTGACTGCCCCCACCCCCACCCCAGTGCATCCCCACAATCTCCCCAGGTAGAGGCCACTTTTTTTATCCTCTTGCCCTGGGGGTCGTTCTAAGCCTCGTTCCAGGCAGAAAAGGATCTCAAGGCATCTGCTTTAGCAAGAGTGGGCCCAGGGAGATGTGAATCAGATTTAGCTCACCTGTGGTCGGCTCTACAGGCTGAGTGGGAGGAGACCAAATACTGCCTGACTAATCAGCACCCTCAGGCCCAAAGGAATATAGCTCCAAACCCCCAAGCTCACAGTGGAACCCCATGGACCTCTAGTGAATGCTGTCACTGCCCACCTACATCCCCTTGGAGCTTGCTAGTTCAATGCCCATGTGCCCTACTTTCAAATTCTAGCACTTTCCACTCTTTGTCTGAGGCTTTGTTTGCCACCAGAGCTGCTTTAGCCGGTGCATGGAACAGGCCAAAAGTGCTAGGGACTTTACACGGCAAGGAGCAGGCTTCAACCCTTGACTAGCCCCTTGCCTCTTGGATGAGATAAATCTGTGGTGCTGTTCTACACTTTACTCTGAATCCCTGATAGGGTTGCCAGATTTAGCAAATAAAAATACAGGGCCATTTAAATCGAGTTTCAGATTAACAACAAAGAATTTAGGACATGGTTAGAGTAAAGCATTATTTGTCCTGTATTTTCCCTGGCAACCCCACTCGCAGAGCTCCCCAGCAGCAGCTGAGCTCCAGCTGCCTGTGCTGCTAACCAGCTTGACGAGGTGCCCTGTGTTGGCTTCCTCCCTTCCCCTATCTCCCTTGCTCACTCTCCTTCCTTCCAGGAGTTCCTGGATGGCCTCACAGATAAACCACTTGTCCTTGAATCCTTGCCTCAGGATCTGTTCTGGCACCCAGAACAAGATAGCTCCAGAGTGGATGGAGGGGAAGGGGGTGATGAACAGCATGCTGAGCTGTGTTCATTGCTTGCCTCTCATTGTGTAACCCCTTCCTATGCTCAGACTCTGGAACTTCTCTGTGGGTCCCAAAGGCCCACATAGACAAACCATAGATACCTACTGGCCAGCACTCCTAGCACCTGCTCAGCTAACTGCTGCTCCCCCACTTTCCTGATTCACTCTTGATTAGCTTTTCCTCCTCACTTAGCTTCTGGCCTTCATGGACTGTATATTTTTGATTGGCCTCCCAGGGGGTTGGACCTAGTGCTTGGTCTTTCTCAAATTTTGGGAATTAGTTCACACCTGACTACCTTAACTGTCTATTTGTCCCTGCTGACTAGAGTAAGAAGCCCCTGCCAGGTCTCCCACCTCTCAGAACCGTCCTCTGCAGCAGGTGGGGGTGGGAGTAAACATGTGGCCTTGGTGTTTGTTGGTGGTCTGGACTGTCCTCCAAACACTCACTAAAACAAAGTTAATTAATCAATATGTTACATGAAATTAATTAAATTAACTAATATGATAGGGTTTACAGATCCCCTGCCATCTTCAGAAGGAGGGTAACTTTCCAAGAAGGCAGCCATGAGGGATTCACATCCCACACTGGTGGGATGCCTGTTACTGGCCCTAAAGGTCCATGTGACCATCTTGTGGAGGCTGCTCACTGGCCTGTGGGATGTGGGGTGGCGGTGAGCACAAGGAAGTGAGGCAATGGGAACATCTCAACTGAGACCTTAAAACTGAAGGGCTGAAGAGACAAGGGGACCTGGGTTATATCCCTCAGATGCCTTCTGGTTCCCCAGAGGGCCACCCCAGCTGGCTGGAAGGTTCCCTGGGGTTGGGGGGAAGGAGCCCACAGGACTTGGACTCTGGCAGGGATTGACTCAGTCATACCTTCTATGTATTTGTAGTTCTCTGTGACGTCATCTCGCTCATCACTTTGAATGCTCTTGGTGCTGATAAAATTGCCAACAGTATTCGTGTCCCGGTGAATTTTCTGCTCCTTCCCTCCGTAGACAAGCCAAGACATGCAGTCAGCATTGACCATGGAAAAGGCAAAGGCTGTGTCATAGTTCAGATCCACCTCTCCCTCTTTGATGGCTCTGACAGAGGCAGGGCCACAGCAGTAGAGGCCTGAAGGAGAACAGAAGAGCCACGATGGGTCATTGCTGCAGGGTCAGGCAGGGGTAAGGGCGGTTTCTGGGGAGTGGGTTCTACCTTTCTTCTGGACAGCCTCACCATTGCTCGTCTCCTGAGGGGTGGCATCCAGCACCTGCCAGCCTCCATATCCAGGAGGGAGGTCCTTTCGGGCCATCCAACACTCATTCCACACATGAAAATTCCTGAAGGAGAAGCCAGAGGAGTCAGTGTCAAATGAAGGCAAGAGAGAGCTTGTAGTGCTTGTGTTCTTTCCAGAGCAAGGCAGGGGCCGATGGGTACATGGACCGCTAAATAGAAAGACAGATTTAATGCACCCTAAGCCTTCAAACTCTGTGGATGAGTAGTGGCAGCGTTTCCTCCTGTGAGCCTTGACTTGCCCAGAAAAGAGCTTTCTTCTGTGAATAGAGAGTATTAACTCTATATTAACTGGAATTAACTGAAGTTAAATATCCCTCACTCTCTCTCTCCCAAAGGTCCTCATGGCCTTTCTTGTGTGTGCTGCTGAGTCACAGGGGCAGACATGGGTGTGTCTGGAGGTGGGGCTTCAGGCCCTCCTGTAGTCAGAGCTATAGGCTGAGTATTAAATGAAGGAGATGGCAAAGAGGGAAATCTCACCCAGGGCAGAAAGCTGTTGTGATGTGAGGATTCTAAACTCAGAATCGTTTTTGTGTTCAGCTATGTCTCAGCCTTCGAGGTGGGGATACAGGGCCCTGGGACTGGTAAAAGTGAGGCGGGTCTGGGAGAATAGCAGGCTTGTGGGCACAGTCCTGCCCCACTATCTGCTGGTGGAGTTTGCCTTGGAAAGAGACAGAGAGGTGGTCTCTCACCAGACAGTGTCCTTCTTCTTATTCTCCAAGATCCTGCCTGTGCTGTCATAATACTCATCTATGATCAGGTTTCCATCTGTGTCGTGGCCAGAGTCAAAGTTGGTGATCACACGGGTGGGGATCCCCAGGCACCTCATTACTGCAGAAAGAGCAAAAAAAAAAAAAAAAAAAAAAAAAAAAAAAAAAAACCAAACAAACAAACAAACAAACAAAAACAAAACTCCTGCGGGCTGTGGATTCAGGAATTCTATGGATTCCTGGATGTAGGGCTCTGGGCCCAGGGAAACCATTCTTTGGCACCTGCAGGACTAGTCAGGGGAGCTGTCTGGAGCACTGGGTTGATGATATTGCCAACCTCTCTCCCCACCTTCCTGAACTCCTCTCCGGGGCTCATGGAAGAGACACTGTGCAGAGGCTGGGCTTCTGGTTGCTCAGAGAAGCACTGCCAGGGCCCACAGAAACTCCAGCAAGTTGTGAGTCCCTGACTTTGCAAGCAGGACTGGGCAGGCATGACTCCTTTGGCAAGACTACTCAGTGGCCTAACTAGGTCTTGCTCATCTCTTGGCTGTGAATTTCCATCTTCAAACCAAATGCTAGAATTTCAGCTCAGACCATCAGATACTTAGACAAAGTGTCTGTGGCTTGGATTCCCCCTTTTCTATGGGTATATTGTCTTGGAAGCTTATAAAGGAAAGTGTCATAAAAGAAGGCAGAAAAGGAAGGAAACTGTGTAACAAAAGCTTAGAAAAGTGAGGGTTTGTACCCAGTAGAGAAATTCTAGAAAGGAGGTAGTACACTGTTTTTATTCCTGAGAGGGCATCTTTCCCTCTGCCAGCCAACTTCTGTGCTTTGTCCCTTGCCATATTTCCCCCATTCTGCACTCTTTAAGTATAGCAATATCCCCCAGCCCATCCTACTGCCAATGTCCTGGGGACCCTGTCCCTTCAAGTCCAGCATTGGCAGCCCACCCCATTTAATAATAATGATGATGGTGATGATGATGATAATAATAATAATAAAATTCAATAATATCAGCCAGGCATATTGCTATATTATCCTCAGGACAACTCTACACAGAAGCTACCATTATTATCCTCATTTTAAAGATTAAGAATCAGGGGCACCTGGGTGGCTCAGTTGGTTGGGCGGCCGGCTTTGGCTCAGGTCATGATCTCGCAGTCTGTGAGTTCGAGCCCCATGTCAGGCCCTGAGCTGACAGTTCAGAGCCTGGAACCTACTTCAGATTCTGTGTAACCCCCCCTCTGCCCCTCCCCCACTTGTGCTCTATCTTGCTGTCTCTCAAAAATAAATGTTAAAAAATTAAAAAAAAAAAAAAAGAATCAGAGGCTAAGAGGGTCACCTGGGTGGCTCAGTTGGTTAAGGGTCTGGCTCTCGGTTTCTGCTCAAGTCATGATCTCACAAACCGTGAGATCAAGCCCCTCCTTGGGGGCAGTTTCTCTGCCTGCTCAATCTTAAAATTGAGCCTACTGAAGATTCTCTCTCTCCCTCTCTCTATGCCCCTCCCCACCTCACAGGTGTGCATGCTCTCTCTCTCTCAAAACAAATAAATAAACTTAAAAAAAATCAGAGGCTAAGAAAAGTTGGCAACCTTGACTAACGTCAAATGGCTAGGAAGTGGCAGACCTGTCACTCAAATCCTGATTTCACTGCTGGGCTCGTACTCAATTCTGAGCCCACCTCCCAGTATTGTGCACACAGTTCAGCATTCTAGTATTTTTCCCTTATTAAACATTTCATGCATTTTCCTATGTTAACAAATATTGGCACAATATTTGCACAAAGCCTCTCCAGGTCAGGGTGTAGAGACATCTCTTGATATAGCTCGGAAAGAGGGGGAGAGGATCCCAAAAGGGAACCTGGAGCTCTCCTTGGCACAGCTCTGTGCAAGGCCAAGGAATGAGGGCAGGGAGTGAGCAGAGCTGACAAGTGAGTTGTAGGTGGAGGTAACACAGGACTGCCTCAGAGGGAAGGGTGAGGTTGGAAAAGCTGCCACTAAAGGAAATGGGACAGGAATAAGGCAAGAGCACTCAGGTGACTCAGGAGCATTGCGTGAGCACATTTGTGCTAAGATTACAGTCAGGAGGGTGGGTAACACTTCTGATAATAAGAGAAGGTGCCAAGGAGGGATGGGCAGGGAAAGCAGGAAACAAGCCTCCATTCTTCACACCAAGTGATGAATTCACAAATAGCCACATGAACTGTCGGTGGTGGTATCAGCTTGTGCTCAACAAGGCTGGATGAACCTTTTCCACCTGAACACGTGGCATTGTGCCCATGGCACTCTGAAGTTCTTTACCTGACTTAGCACATGACTTGTGATGGTTTGTTTGTGAGTCTGCCTTCCTGAGAGGGATTGTGTGATATTCGTCGTTATCATTATATGACCATTAACAACACAGAGCCAGGCCTGTTTTGCAGAAACTTGATGGTGCATCATTGCTAGATGGCTGAATGAGTGTCTCACAAATCTTCTGCCTGTTCTCATGATTTCTGACTTTGCACAGCACTTTCATAATGACTGCGCCCTATGCTTTAGGTATCAAGGTTGACTGTCAGTAGAGCATAAGCTTTGAGTGGTGATGGATTTGCATTGATCCATTCTCACGCTTTTGTCATCATGGAGGACAACAGCCTGTCACCATAAACCCATGGTGAGGCTAGAATGGTTGCTCACATGGGGAGTGAGTGAGGCCTTGCTTCCATACCACACTAAGAGAGCTAACAACACTCAGATTTGCATGAAGTCATACACTGTATTTTTCCCAGGGTCTTGCTCCCTCTGTCCTCCATGCTCTGTCCTCCCACCAATAGCTCATCTTGTCTTGTGGATTCACCTCTTACTTCTGTGCCCACAACTCCTGAACTTGAATCTTGAGCCTCTGTGGAGACATCGCTGCTTCTAGACACATGCCCAACTGAGCTTGTCTTTCAGTCTTCTCCATCTTCTTTGCCGGTTGATGACATCATTATCATCATCATCATAGTGCCAGCCATGGTGCCAAGCATTGCATGGGCATGATCTCATTTATTCATCTCCCAAACCCTGTGGTTATCCCGACTTTAAACAGGAGAAACCTGAAGTGTAGAGAGGTTGAGGTCACATGGCAGAAAGAGGAGAGCCAGGGCAGGATTTAAGCCCCTGATTCTCTGATCTCAAAACATCCCCATGCTTCTAGCTACAAGCCACACCACTGCAACTTCACTAGGCATCACAGCACCAACTCATTCTCAATACACCTTCCTCTGTCAAGTTTTCACTGACTACTTCATGCCACACTAACTTCCCTTCTCATGCTCTCACTTAATCCAGTCACCTGTGATGCATATTTTATCACTGGATGGAGCTCTCTGTGATCTCCTGTATTTGTTTTATCTTGTCAGCCAGATTACAAATCCCCCTAGACTAGGATTTATATCAGATGCTTTTCTTTTTTTTTTTTTTTTTAATTTTTTTTTTCAACGTTTATTTATTTTTGGGACAGAGAGAGACAGAGCATGAACGGGGGAGGGGCAGAGAGAGAGGGAGACACAGAATCGGAAACAGGCTCCAGGCTCTGAGCCATCAGCCCAGAGCCTGACGCGGGGCTCGAACTCACGGGCCGCGAGATCGTGACCTGGCTGAATTCGGATGCTTAACCGACTGCGCCACCCAGGCGCCCCCAGATGCTTTTCTTGATATTTCTTTGTTTCCAACACAGTGCTGGGTACAAAGTAGATGTTCATTAAATCTGTGTTGATATGTATTGTCTTTAACCTGTGAATAAGGTTTCTGCAGACTACCAGTCCTAATGACTCACAGTTTGACATGAGACTCAGGTGACTCACTAATAATTTTGGGGGAACTGAGTACTACATAAAAGGGAGGTGTGTGTGTTTGTGTGTGTGTACACACATGCACGCAACCCTCACACAGTCATGCTTAGATAAAGGTGGACCAGATATAAGAATCTGGAAAGGCCTGAAGAGTTCCCAAGGTATATTACACCACACCACACTCCCAGCATGAATTACTATGTCTTTTTCACTCAGCCATTCAGCACTCATCCAGTGCTCATGTCAAGCCCCTGTGATTAACCAGGCAATGGGTTAGATGCATACACAAAAATGAAAGACATTCCTGTCCTCAAGGAGTGCAGCTTCACTTTTGACTGGTGATGGACATCATCCTGATGGTGTATTAAACATGGTGGAGTCTGTTTCAGGACTAGCTGTGAAATCTTCTCACCAGTTCGTTTTCCTCCCCCATCTCCCACCAGCTCCCCATGTGGAAATGTGGCTCCAATTTTAAAAGAGAAATCAGTGGAAAGTTAGAGTTAAATCTGTTGAAATTCGCTTGATCAGCTTTGCTGCCACACTTCTATGGCTTAAACTGAAGAATACAGTCAAACTTCAGCTAATGGAGTTGAAGTGTTTGCATTTAAATATGATGATTTTTAGCATCTTTTAATTTCTCCCCAGAAGCATCAAGCTTCCAAATGGTAAAAGTATCTTCTCCTCCCATGCTTCTAATTGTTCCTTAAACCAAGATGGTTATATTGTCTTGGTTTTCAGATATGCCTTCACAAGTTCATATTAGAACTGTTCTTGTTTGTCTGCAATGACAATGAATCCTAAAACTGCTTTAAAAAAATAATGTCCACTAAAAAAATTACCAGGCATGCAAAGAAGCAGAAAAATATGACTCATAACCAGGACAAATGTCAATCAATATACTAGATCTAGAAATAACAGAGAGATTGAATTAGCTGACAAGGACCTTAAAATAGCTATTTTAAATATTATAAATATGCTCAAGAGGAGGTAAAGGAAAACATGACCATAAGAAGAGAAATGGAAGATAGAAAGAAGATCCAGGGGCGCCTGGGTGGCGCAGTCGGTTAAGCGTCCGACTTCAGCCAGGTCACGATCTCGCGGTCCGTGGGTTCGAGCCCCGCGTCGGGCTCTGGGCTGATGGCTCAGAGCCTGGAGCCTGTTTCCGATTCTGTGTCTCCCTCTCTCTCTGCCCCTCCCCCGTTCATTCTCTGTCTCTCTCTGTCCCAAAACTAAATAAACATTGAAAAAAAAATTAAAAAAAAAAAGAAAGAAGATCCAGTGGAACTTCTAAAGATGAAAAATATAACATATAAATATTGGACAAAATATTGCACTATAACAATATACTTTTTTTTTTTTTTGGTAAGAACACATTCAGAGACAATGTTACATATTAAATACATCAAAGTGTTTCCCTATCATGGAGGAAGGTGAATAGGAATGGGTTGCAAGGCAAAAGTGAGGAAAAACTAATTGATTAGTTAATTAATTTTTTAAAAAGGGGCCTGAACCAGACCTATTATAATAAATATCATGAAATGAGAAATATGATTAATTAACCCTAAACACTCCAAGGAACGAAAGAAGGAAATAAAGTAAAAAAGTGAGACAGATGATGGGGAACTGAATTTTGGGGGATGACTAGAAACACCTTGTGAGCAAGATCCAGTCAGATTTCTGGAGCCCAAGAAGCTGAGATTAAAACAGTATCAGGCTAATTATAATAACTAATATTTATGTAAAATTAACTATGTGCCAGGCATTTTTCTAGGTACTGGCCAAATATTAACCCACAACCTGGTAAGGGAACATTCCACACAAGTTTTGATGTCTCTTTAATCAATGGAGAACAATAGTAGATTTGTGTTTGAGCCAAAGGTTGAGGCAACAAAATGCACCAGGACTGGGGCTGAGATTCCTTCTTTGAGAGCTAAGGGCTCAGTGAAAACGGTGAGGACAAGAGTTGTATTCAAATGAAGATAATGAGGTACTTTATAGAGGCCACTACACAACTGAGTGAGAAGAAATCTTAGGTGACATGTAGCCCAGGGGTGTTCAAAAAGTTTTAAGCAGAGGACCCTACATGCAAGGTAAAGCGTTAAGTGGGGATCCAATATACAAAATGTACTCATGGGGTAGTTTTGGGTGAAGAGAGGAGGGCCTAGCTCTAAGCAACACAACCTCCTCATCTCCCACACCATTTCCCACCATCCTTCCCCCCATGCCTCCTGGGCCACCTCTCTACTTTATAGAGCAGGGGATTATGCCCCATAGACCTGTTCACAGTCAATGTTCATGTCTTCCAAGTCACTGCTGACCCTATCCCTACCCGTGCAGCTGTGGGCAGGAACAGACCAGGCATATTCCCAGGATGACTGCCTTAAAAAATAAAAAAAAAGGCAAAAAACCAACTTTATTGAGATATAATTCACATACCAGAACCCTTGTAAAGTGTACAATTCAGGAGTTCTGGTCCAAGATGGCAATGTGGGAAGACCCTGAACTCATCTCCTCCACAGACACACCAAATCTACACCTATTTATAGAGCAATTCCTCTTGAAGAAGAACTGAGGGCTGACTGAAAGCTTCTGCACAACAAAAAATAGACCACACAGAGAGTGGCAAGAGAGAGGGGGACTTGGTGACCAAGGGAATCCCCACTCTGACTCTGTAAACTGCAGTGGGAAGGGATAGTACTGAGGGACTGTGAAAAGATTAGTCTGCCCTGGAGCACAGAAAAAAAGCCACAGTATAAAAGAGCAACTGGAATATAAAAGAACCAGCCCTAGAACCTTGACAAATGGCAGGGGAGCTGCTGGAACTCTCTCCAGGTCCCTTGTAGCAGAGAGTGGATGGCCAGAACAGGAAAAGCCTGATGACTGAGAGCTGTGGGTGGCCAGCCCTAAGTACAGAAAAGGTAGACCAGAGATTTGTCTGAAATTCCCCAAATAACAGCCAACTAATTGAATGTCAAAGAAAAATCCTGTTCAAAATTTGATGCATGCACGTTTTCCTTTTGGTGATTTTTCATTAGGAACTTGACGTCAATATGTTGACATTTAAAAAGGCAATTCTGCGAGGCAGAGCTGCGGGGGGGGGATGCATTTCTGAGTCAGACAAGAGTCACTTGTTCACTGTAAGCCTCAGTTTTCTCATCTGTAAAATAATGGTAATGATATCTACTTTGCAGGCGGTTGTGAGGATAGAAAGAGTAAAAGTGCCTGGCATATGCCTGAAGTGCAGAGGATGCTGGGTAAGTGGCAGTTGCTAGCAATATGTATGTATTAGTATCTCCTAGTGGTTACAGCATACCAGACCTAGATGTGAGACTGGCTCTACTGCTCCATTTCCCCATCTGCAAAGTGGAGATGATGATGATGATAGAACCTACCCCATATAGTCATTTGAGGGTATCAAATGAGGTGACCCTAGCTGATGCTTACTGAACATTCACTGTAGCCAGGCACTATTAATTCTTAGCACATTCCACATACCTCAGTCCTTCAATAACTCTATTCAGTAGGTATTATTACTTTCTCCCATCATAAGTCTGAGGCACTAGCCCAAGGCTAGTCAGCCATTTGATGGTAGTGTTGGTATTTGAAAGCAGTCTACTTCCAGAGTCCACATGCCTCACTATTATTCTAGGTTGTCAAGATTTTAACACAGTGCTTGGCACAAAAGAAGTCCCCAATGCACAGTGCCTGGCACAAAAGAAGTCTGCAATGCACATCAGCTATAGTGATTGTGAAATAAAAACAATATTACTAATAAATGTGCTTTGGTAGCTCTGTTGGGCTAAGGAATTTGATAAATCCTTAACTTTTAGCAGAGGATAGAGGTTGGGTCTTACCTATTTTTGTATCTAAGAATACTTAAAGCACAGTGCCTAGCTTAGAATAAGGACTCAATAAGTGGCTGGATGAATAAATGAGTTTTCAAACAGATATGCTTATTAATATACACCATGGTGGTCCTTTGGGGGAAAGCTGCTGTTGCCTGAGCTATAGTTGGATCAAGCCACATTTGACCCACTTTGCCCAGCCCTTTGCTTCCCAGGTCACAAAGCGGCCATGATTCCCATAAACATTTTAATTGGTCTGCTCTCATTACACAATCTTCATTCACTGGCTCCACCCCTCTCATTGCCCGGTTCCAGACAACCACACCCAAAACCCTGGTCCTCTCCCTCTCTACATGCACACTTGGCCCATTAGTCTTTAGGCTTTTCCACACAAAGGAAGGTTCCCTCTCCAACATGCACAAGACTGATCTGTTCTCTGCCTACCAGTCCTGTGCCTGCTCCCTGGATGACTCAGACATCCCAGGTCACCCATATCTCTGTGGCTCTGGGTATCAAAGCTGTTGAATTCCTAGTTTCTTGTCCCTGGGCAATCAGAGCCTCCAACTCAAGATGGGGCCCTGCACTTGAAAAGGAGGAAGAGTTCCTCACCAACCTATTTGAAGTCATCCTCTGTGGGTATTGACAGAAACCTCCTTGTGCCCTTGGACAGAGCCCTGGTGCTCTCTCCTCGGCAGCTCAACAGCCGGGCTGTCTCTAGGCTTCCTCCAAGAGCTCAGAGATGGGCTCAGCACATACAAGCACACAGACTGCACCAGGCTTTGTCATACAGGGAATTTCTACATGAAAGGCTTGAGTCTGCAATAAACATGAAGCTGTGGCAGATCTGGTCTCCCTGGAATGGACTAGAGACTCCTGTGAGTGAAAGCTGCTACTGGCCTCTTTCCCTAACTAAGAAGAATAAGAACTTCCTGACTGTGACCCAAGTCAGATATACAGATATGCATGCCTGGAGGCTGAGAGCAGCCTAGGTATGGGGGTCAGGGTGAGGGTGAGAGCCAATAGCAAGCTGGACCCTGGGTGAAGCAGAAGGCCTCCTCCTGCTGTCTCTATATGTGACTCATTTCTAGATGTCACTTGCCTCAAGATTCACAGCCACCCCTTTCTTCTGCTTGCTCCTCCTGCTATCTGCAAATCAACTTCCATTTGCCTTCTTTTTCCCATACATATTTTTTTAGCTTTCCCTCTACTAGTGTAGCATCCACTTCCTATCAGAAAAAAGCTGATCTCCTGTTTTCTTCCATCCCCTACCTCTCTGACCTGAGTCAGGCCTCCAGGCCTACTGAGCATGAGACAACTCCAAATTCAAGGTCATTTTATGTCAACTGCCATCTTTCCCTGGCCCCATGGCCCATACTACCACTCCGATATACATTTCCCTCCCATGTCAAGACCACTCTCTGTGCTCAGAAAGGGCACTAATCAGTTTGTAAGCTTTCTAAATACTTGGCCTTTCATCTCATTCCTGTCTTGGACCAAACAATTTCCAGCCAGGCTCCTAGGTTGTCCAAACTCAGAGGAAGAGAAAGGACAGGAAAGTGTTTAATTTCTGCCTCAGAACCATCCTCTGAAATAAGTCCAGATACATGAAGCCGGGGTCAGTGAGAAGACATTTTTACAGAGGGGCTTCCTTCCAAACATTTCTCTAGTGGGAACTGTGCAAGACTGGGACAAGAATGGTTCAGAGGTCTAAGACATGAGCCAGTACATTACTTGTTCTCTTCATGTCGCCCTTTCCTCTCCCTACCTGTGCACATGATGGCAGCAAAGACCCAGCACTGCCCATAGCGCACTGGCTGGCAGCCTGTGGCATGCCACTGTTTCAGGATGGCCACACTGCCGGTCCACTCTGCAGGGTTGATGCCATCTAAATAACTCTCACTCCAGTTTCCATTAAGCACCCCATTGTCATCGTTGCTGTTGATCTGAAGAGAAACCATATATAGAACCATTAGAAGCATTCTTTTGCTTAGCAAGATGCGATGTGTGGGCTGCTTTGCAAGGTCTGTGGGCCTGAGACACAAAGGACTCTTCGAACTGGTTTTACCTGGGAATTTCCAGATCTGCTAGGGAAGTGGTGGGGGTAGGAAACTGGCCATTCTGACTTGTCTCTACTGTTAATTAGTTGATCATTCTATTTCTACTACCCCCTGCAAAGCTAGAGGTTGGCTCCAAGAGCTCTTAAAAATACCTCAGAGCAAAGGAAATTTCGAAAAAAAAAAAAAAAAAAAAAGATCAGTTCCTAAACCAAAGTTATACTCAGCCTTTCCTGAAACATTAATTTGGAATTAATGAAGGTAATGGCCCACACCCAGCTATTTCGGAATTCAGCTGAGAAAACCTGTTACCCATATTTTTTCATTAGCCTCATCCAAACTGGCTTTGCCAGAGGGTTCCTGCTCTCGACTCTTCACCCCACCCCCATTGCAGGAGACAACTGTCAGGGGGCACCCCCCAACACACACAGCTTCCTCCCTCCCTAGACATACCCTGGGTGGGCAGAGCCAGACCCAATCTCACCATGGCACACACCACTCTGCTGATGTAGATGGGGCTTCCCCGCAGGGCACAGTCTGTAGCTGGATCAATCTGGAAGTTCAGACTCTTGTCTAGTAGCTCCAGGCAGATGTCTATGATATTCTCTTCAAACTATAAGAGAGATGCAGAGAAGCAAGGCTCCCATGATTGGCACATGTAGATATGACAAGAAATTCATGACCCATCCCACCCAACTCTCCAATGGAGTGGTTTGCGGAATATGATCCCATTTGTAAGGTAACTGTGTCCAGTAGCACAGACATAAACTGCCTCCTAAGCAGGTGCAGGATCTCTGAGCTCTGGTGTCACAACTCACCCAGTTTGTATGTCCTACAAATCAAATGGCTGGGGTTCTTTCCAATGAGTCTGACTGGCTAAAAAGTCAGTTTCTCCCTCTTCTCCTCTCACTCCTGGAGCCTATGGGATGTTCTTGCTAAAACCACGTTGCCTCATCTTCTACCTCCACTTGCTACCCCAACTCACCATTGGCAGCTACTGTTGAGGTACTGGCATGAACTAGCCATGGTACCTGTGACTCAGTCATGCTCTGGAATGACTAATAGTGTGTGAGTTATGGAAGCTTCCCACCCAAAGCAGGCTGACTTGTCCTTCGGGCTTGGTGTGAATGACATTTTATCTGAGGCCTTCCCTGACCCTGAGCCTTTAATGTCAGTTATAATGATGGAGCCAAGCTCTGTCTTGCTTGCCTGAGCATATACTCTGTCTGTCTCCAGCTGTCCTTGTAACTGTATGCCCCAGACCTGGCACAGTGTCCAGCACATAGTAAGGACTCCATGCATCTTGGTTGAATGAGAGTAAATGAATGCATTTGTCCCCATTAATATTCCCACTGGACAATAAACAGGATTTAGGAACTTTCTCTGACCTATCTTCCCCAGGGGAGAGTTTAATCAGTTCACTTTTCTGCTTTAAAATGTTCAGAGGCCTCTAGACCTTCAGAATCAAAACTCTAACCTCCCCTAACAGCCACATAAGACCCTCCCTGATCTGGCCCCTTGTACCTCTCCAGCCTCATGTCTCAATTCCTCCTGCTTCATCATTTTGCTCCAGCATTACCAGATTCCTTGTAACCCTTGCAGCAGACCAAACTGTTTCTCACCTTTGTGTTTTTGCTCATGCTTCGCTCTGCCTGGGGTATTTTCCCCACCTTTCTTCACTTGGATAACTCAGTTCAAGCATCTCCTTTTCTAGGAAGCTTCCCCAATGACTCCATTCCCAACCAAGTGCTCCTCCTCCGGGCTCTCAGAACATCCTGTGCCCATCTCAGTCTTTGCATATCCCACTGCATGGTAAGTAACCTGCTTATGTGACTGAGTCCCCACTATACTATGAGCTCAGGGATAGCATTCAATTCATTTTCATATCCCTAACATCTTGTACTCTGCCTGATATTCAGCAGGCATTCGATGTAAGTTCACTGAATAAGAGACAGGAAGAAAGGGAAGGAGCCAGGGCTCAAGAAAAAGCAATTTCTCACTTCTGTTGCTCACAGATGATGGTAGGTTCCTGTCTACAGGGCCTCTCTGGATCCTCATTTGCCTGTGCTGAGTGAGGGGTTGGGGAGGTCAATTGGTGCCAGTTGAGGCTGCCACGTCTCATCTTGAAAATAGCCACCTCAGGAGGCCTACGCTGTGCCTGAGACCACATGTGTTGGAGTTCTATTTGGGCAAGTCCAGGAGAGGGACTCATATCAAACAGACACAAGGCTCCACAAAGGATTTCCCAGCCAACAGCCATCTGGTAGCCAAGACTAGTCTTCCTCCAACAGTGTTGTGGTGCCGGATCCCAGTCTTAAGAACCCTCTTCCCTGGCCTGGCCCTGGACTTCCTGGAGCACCTGTTGTGGGCTGAGCTTTATGTGGGAGGCAGGCCTTGCAATAAGGCAGGAGTTGCAACACATTCTGATTAATATGATGCCATTTTTACAAATACAGTCACGTTTTAGAATATGCAGAAGAAACGAAACATGGAGGAACATACACCACTCTGGTGCTTAGCATGTCCTTTGTGTTCTAAGTACCCATTTTTTAATTTTTTTAATGTTTATTTATTTTTGAGACAGAGAGAGACAGAGCATGAGCAAGGAGGGGGCAGAGAGAGAGGGAGACACAGAATCTGAAATAGGCTCTAAGCCCTGAGTTTCAGCACAGAGCTCAACATGAGGCTTGAACACATGAACCACAAGATCATGAGCTGAGCCGAAGTCAGGTACTTAACCAACTGAGCCACATAGATGCCCCTAAGTACCCATTTTTGTAACGTTTCCTTGTAAAGTTTTTAAAACAGCTGTGTATTACTTTTATAATGAAAAGGATATTGGGGCGTCTGGGTGGCTCAGTCGGTTAAGTGTCCGACTTCAGCTCAGGTCACTGTCTCACAGTTTGTGGGTTTGAGCCCCACATCAGGCTCACTGCTGTCAGTGAGGAGCCAGTTTTGGATCCTCTGTCTCCCTCTGTCTCCCCCTCCTCTGCTCATGTGTGCTCACTCTCTCTCAAAAATAAACTTTTTAAAAAATCTTAAAAAAAAAGGAAAAGGTATCTAATCAAAACAAACAAAGATGCAATAGTAACCGGGAAGGAAGTACATCACTGCTCGTTAACATTGCTTTTGGCTGAGATGTTCAGGGACAAGTTTCCTCAGTGTGACGGAACTGATTCTAGGGTCTGTGGTCTAGATAATGAAGATGAAGTGGGAGAGGCAAATGGGGCCCAACTGGAAACAGTTTAACAAACAACAACCAGGCACTGCCATGGCCATCCTCATTATTGTCCCTTTGTCCTCATCATCATGGTCAATGGAACTCCCTGGTGGGTGCCTTTAGCTGTCCTTCCCCCTTAGATCCTGATGTTCAAATCAGACATGATCAGCAAAGAATATCCTCCGACTCATTTAGCTCCCTGGAGTGTCATCTCACACTTCGATGTTACCATTTGTCCGTTCTGCATGAGAAGAACCCTCCCACCTTGCTCCTGCTCCCCACTTCCCACAAGCCCAGGGCCTGGATGGGCTATGAATAGGGCTGAGACTCACCTGTCCATAGTTCCAGGGACACGGGCGGATCCAATTCTTGTTCCCTTGGTAAATGAAGCCGTAATCATTCACGACATACTCCTGCCTCTGGGGCTCACTGTCCAAGTAGACAGAATCCCCTAGGAATCAAAGTGGCAGGACACAAAGCAAAAGAGTTATCGTTCCCTTCCTACCTCATTCCCATCCCCAGAAGGCAAAGTCCTATGGAACTGGGGATGGCACTGGGTGTCACCAAAAGGGGCAGAAGAGGAGGTTTCTTGGAGAGACCCACCTTCTACAATCCCTCAGCACCAGCAGCAGGTTCAATACGAACATGAGGTTGAATAGTGAAAATTTACCTTCAGTGGAATTTCTTGGTTTTCAAAGCACATTTACATCCTGACCTAATTAAGGGTGGAGGGAACAGGCTCAGAGTGATAAGTAACTTGTCCAAATCACATGTAAACACAGAGTGAAATTTGAACAGAATCCATATGTCACCATATTCCATGATTTTTCTGCTACATTCAACTAAACCTGACTGGAAAAGAGCAAACCAGAATTTAGGGGTTGGCATTAACCTCCTCATGCCTTTTATAGGAATTTAACCTAAGGACAGCATTTAGGAAGTACACAGAGATTTGGATGCTAAGCTGTTTATTTGAGTACTGTTTGTAACACTGAAAAGCTGGAAACAACCTAAGTGCCTGGTTCTGGGAGCTTGTTAAATAGCCATGTCCACCACAGAATTCTGTACATACACGATTAATGTAAGATTACAAAATTGTACATATAGGCATCGAAATCTACACGTGATATGTTAAGTTTTAAATGGGTTACATGATAATGTTACAGCATGAATTGACATTTGTTTAAAACATATTTATACCAAGGATTTTGAAGACTATTCTAAAAGATGTTGATAGTAATTTTTTTTTCTTTTTGCCTGTTGGTATTCTCTAGATTTTTTTGGAATGAGCACATATTGCTTTCACGATATAAAAAAAATTTTTTTTAAGTTGAGAATGAACAAATAAAGGCCATGGGAGTAGGTTTCCTCTTTGCAGTGTCCTAGAAAATCTGGAAGGCCCACCTAACTTGTAGGTAAAAGTACTCTCCTCAATTCCTCAGAGGCAGCCTCAGACTCAGCCTGCATGGACTCTGGTAGAGTCAGACTCCTAGAGAAGATCCATTTTAATGAGGTCTTGCACCAGTGTGACCAGATCTGCAGGTTCATGTTTGAGACCACACATATTCTCCTCACAGCAGGGGCTAGCAGTGGCCAGCACTGCAGGGTGGGGGTCCCTAGCCAATATCTTGGACATGGTGATGGGGTAGCCACTGATCCTGTCTTCAGGGCCTACCAACCCCTAGCCCCATATTGAGTCTTCTGGGACCTGGATGGGGCACAGCTTTAAAAAAAAAAAAAAAAAAGCCCTACAGTGATTACTTTCCTCCTCACAGTTCAGGAGAGGCCTAAGTACAAGTCTGAAACCCACAGTCTTGGAGGCCAGGACGTGTGTTTGTGTGTGTGTGTGTGTGTGTGTGTGTGTGTGTGTATACAAGAGAGAGAAATAGAGACAGATAGACAACTGTCCTCCTTGACCCAGTGGTGGAGCGTTTTCATACGGCTAATGGGTAAGAGCTCTGGGCCACTCAATGACAGGGCAGTAGGAGGTGGTTAGAGATGCTAGATCCCAGCCAGGTTCTGGTATGACTCACCTAGCCCTCTTAGAATAAGGTTGGAGGAGCAGGTAGAATGAGAGGGAGGAAGGAGAGAGGATATCCTCCAACTAGAATAGGACTGTTGAGTCTGGCCTCTGCTCCAAAGCCTACCAGACACATTCTCAACTCTCAACTCTTCCTGCCCTTCTTCCCACTCTCTCCTCCTGACTTGTCCTTCATTCTGCCCATACCATGTCTGTATGTCTGTATAACTACTCTGCCCTCAGGTGGATTTAGATTACAGGGATCGTAGGACAGGTGGTACTGGGATATTCCATATATCTTTGTCTAAGACAAACACTGGAAACAGCCAAGATACCCATATATAGGAGACTAGTTAAAAACATTTGGTGGTCCAAACAATGGAGTAATTGTAGCCATTAAAAAGAACATATTGATAGGAAAATATATTCAAAGTTGAATTGTTGAATAAAAAAAGCAAGTTAAAGTATGCTATGTACTATATAATCCCACTTGTGGTACAACTGTATAATCACACACATATGTATATATGCATAAATACGTATTTGATTAAGCATGGAACAGTTTTGTAAGACTACACAAGAAAATGCTAACAGAATTTTCCTCTGGAAGATGGAACTTGGAGTTTGGGATAAGGTTTTACTTTTCATTTTATACTTTCCTTCCTCCCTCCCTTCCTCTTTCTTTCATTTTTTCTTTCTCTCCTTCATTCCTTCCTTCGTTCCTTTGTTCCTTCCTTTCCTTCATTCTTTTTCTTTCTTTCTTCTTTCTTTTCTTTACTTCATTCCACAAATATTCAATGCAATACACTTCTTATTCTTAGAATGAAAAGACTCAAGTTAATTTAAAAATGTGTGGTAAAGGTAGATGTTAATAATGGTCAAAGTTAATTATATTAGTCTTCTTTTCAAAAGTTTATTTTATTGGGGTGCCTGGGTGGCTCAGTTGGTTAAGCGTCCAACTTTGGTTCAGGTCATGATCTCATGGTTCATGAGTTCAAGCCCCATGTCGGGCTTTGCACTGACAGCTTTCTGCCCTTCCCCTGCTTGTACTCTATCTCTCTCTCAAAAATAAATAAACATTTTTTTTTTTTTTACTTGAGAGAGAGAGAGAGAATGAGCAGGGGAGGAGCAGAAAGAGGAGAGAGAGAGAATCCCAAGTGAGCTCTGCACTGATAACACGGGGCTCAAACTCACAAACCATAAGATAATGACCTAAGCCGAAACCAAGAGTCAGACACTTAACCAACTGAGCCACCCAGGTGTCCCAATAGCTTTCTTTCTTTCTTTTTTTGATGTTACTTATTTTTGAGAAAGACAGAGACAGAGCATGAATGGGGGGAGGGCAGAGAGAGAGACACAGAATCTGAAGCAGATTCCAGGCTCCGAGCTGTCAGTACAGAGCCCAAAACAGGGCTTGAACCCATGAACCATGAGATCATGACCTGAGCCGAAGTCAGACACTTAACTGACTGAGCCACTCAGGTGCCCCTCAATAGTTTCTTTTTAAGTAAAGATGACTTTGCTCATGTTTTAAAAATTCTAAATAGGGGCGCCTGGGTGGCGCAGTCGGTTAAGCGTCCGACTTCAGCCAGGTCACGATCTCGCGGTCCGGGAGTTCGAGCCCCGCGTCAGGCTCTGGGCTGATGGCTCAGAGCCTGGAGCCTGTTTCCGATTCTGTGTCTCCCTCTCTCTCTGCCCCTCCCCCGTTCATGCTCTGTCTCTCTCTGTCCCAAAAATAAAATAAACGTTGAAAAAAAAAATTCTAAATAAGTAAATAGCAAGTTCTTCCTGCCTTGTTTCTGGTGCTTGGGAGTAGATGGTGAGTGCATACAACTGGGAGGTTTCTGGTAGTCAGGGAACAGGGGTCTAGAAATCCTTGAGCCTGGCTCTCTGTGGCACTGACAAAGGGGCAGAGACAAGGGACCCACACACAGACACCCCACCTTACCTGGGCACCAGGGATTGAAGAGCAGGATGAACTCCCCAAGCTGGTAGGCTGTGACAGACTTCTGGAAACAGTCAATATGAACTTTCAAGAGATACCGACCCACGGCTGCTGTGGGAGGGGCACACAGGCTCACCTCCAGGGAGCTGGCCCCATTGGTCTCCAGAGAGGCAATCCATGGGCTGGGACCATGATGACCTGCCAGGCTGAACAGGGCTCGAGTCCCATTGGACAAGTCTGGTAGGGGTCCTGAGAGGGAAGCAGAACTCAGGCTCTGCAGTAAACTCTCAACCCTCCAGAATCTTCCTACACACACACACACACACACACACACACACACACAGCCCTCAGGGGTCCTCACCAGTCTCAGCCACAAAGATGATATTGTCCAGGCCTGGCTGGAAGCCCCGCTTCCTGAAGTACAGAGTGATGTTGAAGGCCTGGCCCCGGCGAACCAGGAGTCGGTCAGAGCTGATCTCCTCTGTGTGGTGCCGCACGTTGTTCCAGGAGCTCTGGAGGTCTGTGAGGGCCACCTCCAGCCCTGCAACAGGGCAGCCAGGGGCATATGAAAGAGCAGGGCTGTAGAGTCTGGTCCAATCTTGCCCACCACTGTTTAGTTGTACAAACTTGAGAAAGAAACTTAGCCTCTCTGAGCCTCAGTTTCCAAGTTAGTAAAACAGAATCCATAATACCAGTGTTACAGCATTGGTATGAGGATTAAATGAGGCTTCATGCCTGCAACTGCCTCTTTGTTACTTCCTTTTTCCTTCCCTTTCTTGCTTTTATAACCCTCTATCCCCTTCCCCTTTTATGCCCTCCAGAGGTACATGGATTTCTGCCTCTGTCCAACCTCTTTCATAGTCCTGGCCAAGTTTGATTGCTCCCTTCAGCCTAGCATGTCTCCAGATTCACCCCAGCATCCAGTTTTTAGACTCAAGTTAACAATGTCACTTGCCCCTGTGCCAGCCTCCAGGTCTGGTAGTTAACTACTATGCTTTCAGCAATTTGCTGGCTCCCTGACCACCACTAATGTCACATGCCTAATGCCCTGGGAGCTGGGATGCTGAGGATAGTCAAAGAAAGTCCCACTCCCAGCCTTCTGGAGCCTCTGATAAAACACAGATTGATCTCACTACTCTCCAAGTGTGTCTCCCCAAGAAGGGCTCCATTTCTGACTTCTCCATGTTTGGCCATGGTCCTACAGTGGTCTCCAGGCATCTGGGCTCACAACCTTTAAGTCACACTTGGCTCACCCATCTCTTTCTTGGTCTTTTTCCATTCATATGTGGACACATCCCTTCATTCCGTGAAAACATCTCTGGTGTCCACTTGACCCTTTCCACATTTGCATAATTCTGACCTCCTCACTTTACCCCTAGTGGCCATAACCACTTCCATTAGGTGTCCTGCTTCCTACACCATCCTCTTCTAACACATCACCAGATTATCTTTCCTCAAGGCAATTTAATCATGCCATCCTTTTGCTTTAAAAGTTCTGAGATACCCTACAGCCTACCATACAAAAGGCACACTCCTTAACCTGACACTTATGACCCTCCACACCTGGCCTTCAGTTACTTGCATTCTTGCTTCTCAACACTCCAAGCATAGGCCCTCTCCTCCAACCAATCTGTTCCCAAGCAAATGGTAGCCCTACCTGTCCACGTATTTTGATCCTGCTGTAACCCCAACTTAGAGTGCCCTCTCATTCCGTCTGTCCTAACAAAATCTAACCAAATTCTACCTGTCCTCCAAGGCCTGTTGAAGACCCACCTCTTTCATGAAGCCTGCCTGAGCTGACCCACCCTTCTTTCCATCTGCCACTGGCCTACAGTACTTAACTGCATCACTTATAGTGAAACTTAATTGCTTCATTGAGTTAATATCATGCTCAATTGTTCATTTTTATCAACAAACTTTTACTGGCAGCCAGTAATTTCAGGATCAGCAAGAAATATTCAGATATTTTTGTAGTTACTTTTTCATTTGTTTGCCTTCTACCACAATATGTAAGCCAATGAGGATACAGGCCTAGCTGTTTTGTCTCAGCTGTATTCTAGATTATAAGAAATACAAAACAAAACATTTGACAAAATCCAACATCTTCTCATAATAAAAAACACCCAACAAGTAAATTACCTCTAAGAAAGGAAGTAAACTAGCTGAAACTGATAAAGAGTATCTATGAAAAATCCACAGTCAAAACCATATTTAATAATGAAATACTAGATACTTTTCTCCCTAAGATTAGGAACAAGACTAGGGTATCTTCTCTCTTCAGCATTGTACTAGAGATTCTAGCCAGTACACATTGGAAATAAGTAAAATTGTCTTTATTAATGTATGACATGATCTTGAATATAGCAAATCCTAACAAATCCACACACAAAATTAGAACTAGCAGATAAATTCATCAAGGTTGTAGAATACAATATGTATATACAAAAATTAATTATATTTCTATACACTTGCAATGAATGAAGTTTTAACCCTCCCTTACACCATATACAATAATAAACTCTAAATTAATCTAAGACTTAAATGTAAGAGCTAAAACCATAAAACATTTAGAAGAAAACATAGGAGTAAATTTTCATTATCTTGGACTTGGAAATGGTTTCTTAGATAAGACAATAGAAGCACAAGCAACAAAATAAAAAACCCTATAAATTGGACTTCATCAAAATTAAAAATTTTTTGCTTCAAGGATATCATCAATAAAGTGAAAAGACAACTACAAAATGAGAGAAAGTATTTATAAATCATATATCTGATAAGGTATTTGTATCAAGAATATATAAAGAATGTGTACAACCCAATAATTAAAAAAATAACACAAATAAAAAATGGGCAATTGATCTGAATAGACATTTCTCCAAAAAAATATGCAAAGGCCAATAAGCAAATGAAAAAATGTTAAACATCATTAATCATTAGGGAAATGCAAATGAAATACCACTCCACATGCACTAGAATGGCTCTAATAAGAAAGACGGAAAATAACCAGTGTTGGGGAGGATGTGGAGAAATTGGAACGCTTATACATTGCTGATAGGATTGTAAAATGGTATGGCCACTTTGGAAAACAGTATGGCAGTTCCTCAAAATGTCAAAAATAGAGTTACCATATGATCCAGCAACTCCACTCCTAGGTATGGACCTGAGAATTTGAAAACATTTGTTCACACAAAACCTGTACATGAATGTTGATAGCAGCACTATTCATAATGGCCAAAAGATGGAAACAACCATCTGGTTATTGACCACTATCTGGATATTGGATGAACGAGTGTGGTATATCTGTAAAGTGGAATGTTATTCAGCCACATAAAGGAATGCTGAATACAGTATAATATAGATGAAACTTGAAAATATTATGCTTAGTGTAAGGAGCCAGATACAAAAGGTTACATATTATATGATTCACTTTAAGTTTATTTACTTATTTTGAGAGAGAGAGGAAGAGAGAGGGAGAGACAGAATCCCAAACAGGTTCTGTGCTATCAGCACAGAGCCTGATGCAGGGCTCAAACTTAAGGACTGTGAGATCATGACCTGATCAAGAGTCAGATGCTTAACCTATGGAGCCACCCAGTTGCCCTATATAATCCAATTTATATGAAATATTCAGAATGGGTAAACCCATAGAGACAGATGGTGGATTAGGGTTTGCCAGGGGCTGGAAGTAGGAGAAAATGGGGTATGACTGCTATAGGGTATGGGGGTTCTACTTTTTTTTTTAATCTTTTAAACATTTATTTATTTTTTGAGTGACAGAGACAGAGCACAAGCAGGGGAGGGGCAGAGAGAGCGGGAGTCACAGATTCTGAAGCAGCCTCCAGGCTCTGAGCTGTCAGCCAGAGCCCAATGCAGGGCTCGAACGCACGAACCGCGAGATCATGACCTGAGCAGAAGTCGGATGCTCAACTGACTGAGCCACCCAGGTACCCTGGGTATGGGGTTTCTTATGAAAGAAATATAAGCATAATGATCAGCACATTGTAGGTACCAAAAGATGTTTGCTAGTTTGAATAGAGTTCTCTATCTTTTCCATAATCACTCTGCACTTATTTCAAATTCAACCAACACCTCACTGAAGGCTTGTCTGCTATGTGCTGGGCACCATCGTAGACACTCTATCTCATTGAGTCCTCACCACAATGTTGGAGGGATGAAATGTCATGTCATTCACACTTGGAGATGGGAAACAAGGTTCAGGCAGATTAAATGTCTTTTCTAAGGCTGAACCTAGGGTTACTGGCCTAAGTCCCGTGTTCTTTCCATTACTCAACAGTTGCTGCCATTGCTGGTCTTCAGAAAGGAACCAGCCTATTGATAGCTGGGAGAGCACCTGGCTTTCCCCTGGTAGTAGAAAAAGAAGCTCATCCCTTTTGGAGACCAGCTGACTACACAGATCATTTACTGGCTCCAATTCAGGTTGGGCTCATGACTTAGACTCCTCACTAGGTATGGCAACATCTGCCTGAGAGCCAGCACTGGGGCCAAATCTCATCCTCTGGATACATCATGGGTCAAGTTAACTTCTGCGTATAATGCTGGGATTATTCTTCACCCCACACACCAGACTTTCAAATAGGAAGTACATTTACTATTGGGCATATTTGTTCTCCTTGATGTGAGGGGATGAAGGGGAGTAAAATGATCAAAGAAATAGAAAGGAAATTATAGGTAGAATCTTCAAAGTAATTGATCTCAGTATCAATCCTAGAGAGACACTCCCACATGAGTACAGAGGCATACATAAGAATGTGCCCTGCAGCATTGCTTATATAACTGGAAAATGGGAAACAACCTAAATGCCCATCAAAATGGGATGGATAAATAAATTACTTACACCCATACTATGGAGTACTATGCAAAGTGGAAATTTTTGAGGTAGATTTAAAGGTACTAATTGGCATGGGTAGAGCTCCAACCACATACTGTTGAGTGAAAAAAAAAATCAAGTTGTAGAAAAATATGTACAATGTGATTATACCATGATATTTATGATATTTATACCAAAAAAGCTAGTCATATATATATATATAATTTTACATATGTACTGATCTTATACATACACACACACACACACACACACACACACACA